ACTTACCGATGGAGGCAACTAAAAATGCAATATACGAAAATATGTGCCGGGAAGAAGCCGCCAAAAACAATTTACCAATTTATGTTGAACTGCGTCGAGGCGATCTGATCCGATACCTTTTGTATCGTATCGTTTCGTATCGTTTCTCCAACTGGCAGGGCTCTTCGGTCTTCAGAAGAAGCTTACACACTCGTTGACTCCGGACTCCCCGACTGGCAAATCACTAAATTTATATGTTTTCTGATTCAAAATATTTATTGCCAAACCGCGCACAAATCCAGAGGAGTTGCCCCAAAAAGGGCACCAAAGTGTTTGGTTTTGCCTGGGCTCCTCGGTTCTTCGGTTCTTCGATTCAGGAAAGGAAGTCCCGAAGACGCTGCGCTCAAATTGCCTGAAAAATGGGAGGAGGACATTAAAATTCACCAAATGTATTTATTACGGCACCAAAACCACCGCACCAAGCCAGAAAGTGATGCCCACATAAAGGACTGACTAAAGCACTTGACGAAAAATAATAACTTAAGAAGATATACTTTACAAAAGAGAATTTTATATGGTTACTCTTTATTAAAAGAATATTAAAGTATTGATATAGACTGTATATATAATGAAATATTAAATATATAATGGACCATACTAAGACTAGAACTATTCAGAAAAACTAACCCATAAGATAAAATTAATGCATTTAAGTTACAGAAAAGGCTCTTCCTTATCAAAATATTGCATCGATATATCTAAAAAAGTTTTATATAGGTATATGTTGTTATATATATTTTATTAATACAATATTTTAAAACCATATAGTCTTAATTAAGTTAGTATTAAGTAACCCTTTTTCGAGTGTACTTTTGGCTCTGGGGCCTCTGGATCTTACACTTGGCTTGGCGGCATGTTTGCAGATTGATTTGATGCGCCTTCGAGGGACCCGAGACACTTGCCAGACCGGCCAAGAAAAGGAAGGAAAATGCTGAAATCAATTGTGTACCTGTGTGTATTTATGTGTGTTTGCGGAGAAGCATTTAGTGAGCAATCAAAGGAGTCGGGGGAACAGGCTATATCCACACTTCATACCACAGCCAGTATACTAGTCCTGTGCCTAGGCAGCAAAAATTTATTTCCACTGCCCCTGCAGCTGAATTATTTTATTTAAACCGACGAATTCAATTAGAGACAGTGACTTGGTTTTTGCGCCTCCAGTTGGATGGATGAGGATCAAGAGGCTGGGGAAGATCAGCGGATTCATTGAATTTGCGTTGGCGCTGAGGGCGAGTCCTATATAAAAAAAGGTTCGGGTGCGGCTTTAACTTCTCCGCACGCAACTTTCTACAGGGCAAAAAAACTAAGTAAGCGGAAAATACTATATACCTTCATTTTTATTTATTAAGAAAAAAATTTATGTGAATTTTAATATTAGAAATTCTGATTTTCTAAACAGTCTTAGTTATTTTCCTGCATCTATGGTCTTAAAATCATAAAAACTTAAAAAGTTGTATCGAATCATAACGACTCTTATTTCTGTGTACAGGAAAACCACTCCTCCTTTCGAGACAAGTGGAACAGGATGACGCCTGGCTTTTTGTTTTGTTAGTTCCTTTAATTTGATTTAATTATATGCGCAAGTGATCGCTCCTCCGGTCTCCTCCGAAAATTTATCTGGGGGCGTGGAGCATTTCTTCGGCTGTGCCCAGTTTTTTTTTGTGGGGCTGACACAATATTTCCACCTCCCGAAATGGGACGTATTTTGGGTTCGGTGCTCGCCTGAAAAATCACCGCTTTCGACTCTCATTGTGTGTGATGATCGTTTTGCTATTGTTGCCAGCTCCAAAGCTCTGATCTTCAGGAGTGGCTTGTTAAATTTCACTTGCATGTCGGGGCAGGCTGATCCCCACCTCCCATTTTCCCTCAACCCAATATCAAGGTGTTGGGCGTCGATTTATGCGCTTTTCACTTGTCCCGCGTTGGCGAGATTTTTGGCTCAGGAGGTGGAGCTCTAACTGGCGGAAAAAGTTCAAAATCTGGTGAGGGAAAGATCGAAGTCGTTCGAGAAAAATTGCTGGGAAATATGCGGGCTTAGAAGTTTGATTTAGGGTTTGTTTTATAAAAAATATGGGTCGATTCAGTGGCATGGGAAACTACCTATATTAATCTTAAATAACTGAACAACTCATATAAATTACTAGGTTAAATGCGCACCTTGATGGTCTATATCAATAATACTGCACTCTAAACATATAAATTATATACTTGTTCAATCAAACTTGATATATTATTGGCAGTCTAGACAAATGACCTGGGCTATTTGTCAGCAATTGAACACATCAAGCTGGGTGCAGTGAAAACTATGCCAATTAGATCTTATCGCCGGACATTTCCCAACCAGAAAAGCAACAAGCTCTTTTGACATTTCGCTGCCGTGGTGGAAGATCAACACGATTTCCAAAACAGCAGCCCGGAATGATTTATCACCGGCTCAGAGCAATCAACATACAAAACCATAACAGATCATGCACCAGCCGAAAAGAAACAAATCCACAAATACCAGAAAAGGCCACTCTTAACCACATAACCCTGTTTGTCTGTGCTTGAAACAAAATCTGAGAGCCGAAACAAGAAAAAAAAGGCCAATCGCACAAACGACGACGACAGGTGATTAATTGTTTCAAACGCGTAGACGTTACTTAACGCTCCGTCAGTCGGCGGGTTTGGGGCTACAGGTTCAACCTCAAACTCCAGCTCGTAATGTCAAAATCTCCTCCGATTGTGAGCTACCCATATAAGGTCCATAGTCTGCGGATCGTGTGTGTGAGTGTGTACTTTTGCGGCCAAGTGTCGAGGCGAGTGCGAGAACAAAACAAGTTGCATGTCTCAATGAATGAATAGCCGAATAGTTTGAATCACCCAGGCACCTGAAATTCGAAACAAAACAAAAAGCCAAATGCTCGTAACTCGTGAGCAATGACAGCGGTTGAAGTCATGTTTCTGACAGTCCTAGAGAGGAGATCGTGTGGTTGGGATCGATTGCTTTAAAAGGTTAGTAATGGATTTATTTCAAAACTGACGGCAGTTATAAAAAATACTTTAAGGTATGCTGTTTTCTGTTCTAATATCAGAAGTATGGATCCCATTTTTAGAGATGATTCCTTGGATTTCGTTAATCTTAAATATAGGATCTACCTAAAATGAATTAATATTAATTACATAAATGTTGGAGATGATAAAATAAGATATGATATACTTAAAATTAGTAATATAGAGATCTATTATTATAACCGATAAGAATGATTATGCAAAACTATAAGTTCTTAGTATCTAAGATTGCTAACTGATATGGTTATATAATGGTTTTCAGACCGAACCCCTTAGAAAATTGTAAAAAATTCCCAAGATCCCCTAAGGTGTTCCCTATGTCACGCACCCATCTCTAGCCCTTCTGGGCCCCACTTTGGCGTGCGTCGTGGCTCACCCAAAAAGCCAAGAGGCGAACAACACAAAAAAAATAAATCTATATATACGTTCGAACTTGAGCTTTGTGCTGGTGTCTGATGTCTGATGTCTGGCCATATGATCCACTGATTGCTTGATTATTATTTTGATTAATTAGCCAAGATTTGGCTAGTTCAAACTGCACGGCCCACGCCCGGAGCTGAAATGTAGCCATTGTGTGGTGACTGCCTCTCAGGTTGATACTTGCCAAGACCTGGGTATTCTATGATTGATTGAAGTTTTCTTTGATAACAGCTTACAATTGAGAAATTATTTACATGAGCTATAATTAAACTTGTTTGTTGTTGCCTGTCATTTGGATTTGGATTGCTATTGGGACTCTACTCCGACTGATGTTGAGATTGAGACTGGGCCTGAGTCTGGTTTATTGAACCGCAGAGCAGCTCAATTGAACCACATCGGCGGATTGTGTGGGTCTGTGGCCGCTGGCAAGTGATGTTACCTCTATATATAATCAGGAAATTGCTTTAGGGCCTGCCAGATGCTGTGAGTTGATTAGCCCGCTCATATAGTGTGTTTAGTGAGTGAGTTTGCAAATGCGCAAATTGGAAATGAGGAAAGCCCGGCCCCGTGAAGATGGGTTGGGCTGGCAAGTGATATGACCGAAATCGGCCTATATATCGATGGCAAACGCCATTACAACAATCCCCTTAATTTGGCAACACTTTCGGCGGAAATTGTGTCAACCGGTGCGCGACTCGACTCATCCTCTAACTCGGCACCCAGTCACGATCCATTAGAAAGCTGGCCAAATACTATATAATCTTAATGCGGGCACCCTGAACAAACAAATACAATACTACCAAAAAAACCCGAAAAACCGATGGATGCGTGTCTCTGCCACTGATTTAATTCGGAAATGCTCTGGCCGAGCATTTGTCCAGCTTTAAGGCCTGATAGCCAAAGTTAAAGCCAAAGCCCGGCTCTTCACTTGCCATTCGAGGGGAACATGCAAAGTGACAGCGGCGACGACGGAGACAATTCCATATTTGGCCAAATTCAAATGCCATTAACACGTACGCCATTTGTCGGACTCTCAGAAGAGGATGAGCGCGAGGGGTGGGGTTGCACTCAGGGAAAATCTTTCAAATTGGTCCTTTAATTCAAAATATTCAGAAACAAAGTGGTTTGGTTAAGATTGTAAATATCAACTCAAGTATAATTTAATTAAAATTTTTGCAAGCTTACAGGTAAATTATAAAATGCTTTAAAAATGCCTAACATTTGCTGAGAGTTCTTAGGGAAAAGGCGTATATATTTGTCCTTAACTTTAATGTATTTAGATATAAAAAGTTTTTATCCAAAATATTTATGTCAACTATAAGTACTAAAATAAAGCATTCTTGTAATCACATAAATAATTTTGTTAATATAAACCAAAATTCATTTTTAAGTTCCTAACATATGTGGCGCATTCTTTATCAAAAAAGCCTTCTTCTAACTCTATATTTCTTTAAACTACTTGATTTTTTTCATTTTTATTAACAATTAAATTATGTTTTTCCAAGTGCTTTAACCTGGGGTTCATTTGTCCACCGTTTCCGCGTTGCCTTCGTGTCGAAAGCCGGCCAGCACGCATTTCCCCTCACTGCCAAAAAGCGTTCGACATTTAACACTTGTAAATTTCTTTCGCCGGCCGACTTGAACTTTTCTGGCGGCGTTTCGTGTTTGTTCCGAATGGAGCTGCGAGTCAGAGTCCTCCCGGTTTCGATTGGGGGATTGCATGGTAACCTGTCGTGATTCTTATTTTAATTTGCTTTGACTTGTGCGCCTTTTTCGGGAGGTTTCTCGCCGGCTCTCCGCATCGCCATTTGCCGACTTTCCTCGCCGACAGTTATTAGGCCTAAATGCAGAAGCGATGCGGCGATGTTCGGCTCATTAGCAGCGGGCCAAAAAGGTCTCTCCATTGGCAATTATCGTGAACCGTTTGCTGACGAACTTGGCCAAAAGGCACCAGAAACCGTTAAGAATATATTTATGGGTTAATCTAACAAAATTACTGTACTTAGTATAAGGATAATAAGCTTAACATTAATTCATATTCATTTTATTCAATATGGCTTAAAAAAGTTCAGTCTTAACCGTTACCATTTAAAAGCCCAAAAATTACTTTAGCCTAAGCTTGTCCCACCCAAAAATCGGGCCGAGAACATCTATCTGGGTTATAACTTAGCGCAAAGTTGGCCAAATCCGAGACATAAATTTCCAAACTTATCTATGCCGGCTGATCGTGAGCTTGTTGCGCTGTTTTGGGGGCTAGCAGCCCGTAGTTCGCAGTTCGCGGTTCGCGGCTCGGAGCTGACTACATCTGACAAGTGTTAATTGAATTCATGTCGCTGGTAATCATAATAATAATAACAATATCATGTTGTGCTCTCGGATCCCGATCCCGATCCCTCTCGACTCTGGAGCGCCCCGAGACATGCGCTTGCCGAGCTTTTGATGTCGGCTCTCGATGTCTTTCCATCCATTCCGTCCATTCTGTCTGCCCGGCATCGTTATAAATTACTCAATTAATGTCAGCGTTTATGTCAGAGCTCCGCCATATAGTCGAGCTGAACTGAACCGATCCGATCCTGGTCGGGGGATTGGAGTTTGGGGTCTGAAGCCTGGCCAGAAGATAGGCACATGCAGATAGTACACATAGATATGACATGATAATGGGGCATGTTTAGTGGCTGTCGTCGGTTTAATTAAAAACGGCTTTATGCATAAAACAAAAAGCGCCCAGACTGGCTGACAAGTTGCGCAACTTGACACTTTGCAGCGTCGCCGGAGCTGGAGTGGCGGATGGTCTTGGATGGGGCGCAAGACGGGCTGTTCCCGAGCCCTTTGCGGCAAGTTCGTTGCCTAAGTCTTTTGTTTCGCTCGTCGCCACTCGACACAAAAAACGTGCAAAATATGATTTTTTCGCTCGGCTTTAGCCTTTTTTCCCTTCCATCTTAATTTTTTTGGCGGTGGATTTCGTTTGCAACTACTGCTGCTGAAAGCAAAATGTCAATTTTGTGACTGGATGGCTTTTGTCTCTTTTGACGCCCTCTCAATGGCGACGACAACGGCGGGTCGAGCACCCACACCCACGCCCTCGCCTCCTCCTCGATTTTATTGCACATGGAATACTCTTTAAAAATACCATTTTTAAAATACTTTTAAAACAAGGGTATAAAAATATTACCAGAATTTATAAATTTAATTTTTATAAATTTTGGACATTTTAGCATGCCATGTATAAACTAATACGTTACAAATTAATTTGTAATAGCATTTTTTTTAACACTGCTTTCAAAAGCTCATTTAAAGATTTAAGGTTTGATTAAGAAAAAAAAATATATAAGATATTTTTTAAATAATTATTTTATCTTAAAGTATATATGCATTCCAAGGAACTTTTTCGAATAGAGCATTACCACTTCACATGGCTGACATTCAAGTGCTCCACAGATACTGGAAACTAATACGCGGCACGGGCATAATTAAATATTTTGCCTATCGCCTTTTGTGTGTTGTAATAAGATAAATCCGATTTGAGCTGTCTGCGGCAAGTGAGCAAAACAACAGGTTGCTCTGCAACAGATCGAATGTGCGGGTTGAACGCCCAATGGAGAACTAAAAGCGAGGCGCTAAAAGAACAATGTGTCATAGCTATATTCGTGGTATTTAAAAGAACTCTGTATCTGTATCTGCGTTTTTTCTGCATATATATCTTTTTCGAGCACTTAGCGCGCTGACAAGTTGAAGCTTTGCGTGGAGCTCGGCTTTTGCCTCATGGGGCTTGGGGTTTCGGGTTTACTGTTCCGACTTTTGGAGGCTCAGACACATTTGAGTTTTTTGATATGCGCTGTCTGTCGCCTGTTGACGGATTTCTGCTCTTGGTCCGGCTTTTGGCCCGGTGTGGGTGGCCCACACATGTGGCCAAAACCAGAGCTCGGTGCAATTGTTTCGCCGCCGGCGCCTCAGTGCCATATATCCACACATATACCCATATCCGAGGCCCGATTCGAAGCGGAGTCCACATTAAGTTTTCAAATTGCTTTTTTCTCGCTGCGGCGGTTAGATTAAGCTTATTTCCGTATTGAAGTTTCTGTTTCAGTTTCTGTTTCAGCTTGGCTTTGCGGTTTGAATTAATTAGCCGCCGCGAAAACAAAGTCCCGGCCAGTTCTTTAGCATATTACGAGTGCAAAAGCCAATCTTTATGGCTCTCTGTGTGTCTCTGTGCGGTCGAAGCCACAACGCCAACGCACTCGAATCTGAATTTGAATTTCATATCTCCAACCGAATCCGAAGTTAAGATCCCAGCGAGACAATGGTAATTATTAATAATGCAAATAATTATATCGATTCCATTTCAGGGGCGTTGTCTGCATGTGATTTGTTCAAAAGGCTCTCGTTTTTTGTGTCGAATTCGTTCCTCGGTTCGCTTTGATCGGCTGGAAGTGTGGGAAAAAAGTTCTCATTTGGCTTTTGCCACTTGATGCTTTTTTTCGTGGGGTTCTGTGTCGGTTTCGCTTCGGTTTTTTGTTATGGCTAATTTGCCTGCGCTGCATTTTTGTTTCCTTTTGATTAATTTGACGTCGACGAGTGCACGGCATCGGATTTATGACTTGGCCAAGACGTATTTTCGGCCAGTTCCGCCGAAGTGTGGTGTGTGTGGCATGAGTTATGGACAGTCGGGATTGTCTTGCTCGTGGCTAATCATAGCTGTCAGCCGACTGAGGAACCCCCTCGCCCCACATATGCAGTATTGCCGGGAGCGATGGAACCCGGCTAGAACTGGGTCTTAAGAAGGTAGCATTCTAATGGGAGTACAACTTTTTATATCAATACAAATTACGCTTCTCTTTATTAAGATGTTGGGATATTCAAACAAAATTAGGGATGATTAAAGGATTTCATCATAAACAAGTTTTCCAGGAATGATGTATTAATTAATTTTATTTTTTGATTGGTATATATATTTATTAAAAATTAACATTATTACTATTTGGCCAAATGTATTTAAATTATAATAAGGTTTTTTAAATAAGTTGTATCTATGTGTGTAAATATATATTTTTACATTTAGTATGAATATTATTTATGTTTACCATGATATGATATATATTATGTATTATTCTATATTTTACTTCTCCTATTAAAATAAATTAATGTATTACATTCTAAATTATTTAAATTTTCATTTTTCTCTGCTTACCTTTATTGATACAATACAAAATATTCACAGAATTACTTTCAAACCCCCAAACAATTCTATTATTTTCAATCTCCAATCCATTGCCCAATATGGCTAATCTAAACGAGAGCCCAAATCGATTGCCAAAACTCAGGCACGAGTGACTGGCTTAAACGCTTTGTGTTGCCAGTATTTTGAGAAACGCGGCGATTAGATCTTAATACAGAAAATGGCGTTTACTCAACACACGATCGGCGGCCCGAGCTGGGAACAATCATAATTAAATATTAATTTACACTCGGCGCGTTAAGCAAACAACACGTACAGCTTAGTGGCCATAACACACAGCAACCTATAGCCGATAAAAGCAACAACAATGCACATTGTCTATATGTACAGCTGCGGCGCCAGGTAATATTCCATAATTTGTTTCATGTGCCGATTGAAATTATTAAATATTAATGGCCAACGAGCTGGAAAAACGTGTCTTGAATATCTGAATTTAAATAATAATAATTTTGATCGGAAAAATGCATTTAAAAATGCATTTTGAGCAAACTTGGGGCGATCGAAGATTAATTAAACTGCCATGGCGAGGAAGCCGGGCCCAAAATTAGAAAAAGAACAGGGCGTGTGCTGCTGTGTTGGCCAACGGATAACTTGGCCTGAACCATCGACTGCCCGACTGCCAATTAAGCCAACTCTGCACGTAGCCGCAATAAACGAAACTCGAGCAAAGTGAAAAACACATTTTTCGGTCTTTGATTTTTGTATTTTTCCTATTTTGTTTTTCGGCGGCCCATAAATTAGCGCTCTAAACGATTGCCTGGCACTTGTCACCAGGCCCCCGTCTAATTTAACCTTTGACCAAATGCCGCTACCACAGAACCCCATGCGTTCCAAAGGGGCGTGGCACCTGGAGCCGCCGAAACGGCAGCACGCGCACTCAAAATCAGAAAAGAAAAAAATCAGACTGTCCCTGTTCTGGCGAGTGCTGTCTGGCAAATGCAATATGACTTTCAAGTGGCAGCTCTATGGCGTGGTTTCCTAATAGACCAAAAAGCTACCGCGCGACCAGCGATGTCGGAAGTATGGGGTTGAAGAACGAATCAGGAGATGCTCTTCCAAAACATTAAAACTTTGTTAAACGGGAAACCAATGAAAGGACTTGACACTCTAACACCTATTAAAATGTTATCAAGACTGATCTAAATTGGTTCACTAACTATCACTATATTTATGATCCATTGCTGAAAAATGAGATCGTAATAATCTGTACGGATAAATCAAATATAATAGGCTAATATTTATACCCTCTTTTAAATGAAAAATTTGAATTCAAAGTATTAGGGAATTCAACCACAAACTCAAAGAGGTATCCCACTTCAAAATCGGTGACCAAAAACTCAAGTTATGGAATCTGGAAGTGCAGCTTTTGGGTTCCCATTCTGAAAGTCTTTGGAAATATGGAAAAATCGAACAGGAAAATGGGTTAAAACTATGACCATCTTTAAAAAGAAAAATTTGAATGCAGAACTTTAGAGAATTCAACCACCAACTCATAGAGGTATCCCACTTCAAAATCGGTGACCAAAAACTCAAGTTATGGAATCGGGAAGTGCAGATTTTGGGTTCCCATTCCCGAAAGACATTGGAAATACAGAAAAATCTAACATGAAAATGGGTTAAAATTATGACCATCTTTAAAAAGGAAAATTTGAATGCAGAAATTTAGAGAATTTGACCACAAACTCATTGAGGTATCCCACTTCAAAATCGGTGCATAAACCCTCAAGTTATGGAATCTGGAAGGGCAGTTTTTGGGTTCCCATTCTGAAAGCCATTGGAAATACGGAAAAATCGAACATGAAAATGGGTCAAAATTATGACCCTCTTTAAAAAGAAAACTTTGAATGCAGAATTTTAGAGAATTCAACCACCAACTCATACAGGTATCCCACTTCTAAATCGGTGACCAAAAACTCAAGTTATGGAATCTGGAAGTGCAGTTTTTGGGTTCCCATTCTGAAAGCCATTGGAAATACGGAAAAATCGAACACGAAAATGGGCCAAAACTATGACCCTCTTTAAAAAGGAAACTTTGAATGCAGAATTTTAGAGAATTCAACCACCAACTCATAGAAGTATCCCACTTCAAAATCGGTGTTCAAAAACGCAAGTTTTGGAATCTGGAAGTACAGTTTTTGGGTTCCCATTCTGAAAGCCATTGGAAATACAGAAAAATCTAACACGAAAATGGTTTAAAATTATGACCATCTTTAAAAAGAAAAATTTGAATGCAGAATATTAGAGAATTTGCCAACAAACTCATAGAGGTATTCCACTTCAAGATCGGCGACCAAAAACTCAAGTTATGGAATCTGGAAGTGCAGTTTTTGGGTTCCCATCCTGAAAGCCATAGGAAATTCGGAAAAATCGAACATAAAAATGGGTTAAAAATATGACCCTCTTTAAAAATATAAATATTAATGCAGAATATTAGAGAATTAAGCCCCAAATTCATAAAGGTATTCCACTTAAAAATCGGGATCCGATAAGTCAAGTTATGGGGTACCCATACTAAAAGCTTTGAAAAATTCGGAAAAGTCGAGCATGGAAAGGGGCTGACATTGTTTAATTTTTTTAAATAAAAATAAAATTCTGTCTCTTAAAATTCGGGATCCAATAACTGAACTTATGGTGTCGTTTTGGGTTTACAAAAATCTGAAAAGCCATCATTATTACTTTTATAAAATGTAATTATGTAAATATGCTTAATGTCGGTTAAGTTATTTCCTTGAAAAAGTATTGACTAAGTCTTCCAGAATTTCGCCATGCCCGAGATCTCTTAAAGGGTAAACAACTTATGAACAAAAAGTAAACTGGAAGTTGTAGAGCGTTAGAAACTGCGTGGACGGCATTTATAATAATGCGAGTGAGTTGAGCGGTTCGCCGGAGATCCAGATGGGGATGCCGGGTGGGTGGGGCTGGCTTTTCGCTTTATAAAGTAAGGTGCGGCTGTTCTGTAGAGCGGAAAAGCGGCAACTGGAAAACGCGTTTAATTGAGCCTGGCCTGGCTGCCCACTAGCGCCATCTAGCTGCGTGCGGCTGCACCAAGAGCCGGCTTTGTTGACTTTTTGTTGTTTCGCCTCGAAAAAAACAACCGAAAACAAAAATCGATGATTCATCGCTTGGTTTGTTGTTTTGAGTGGATTTCGCCAACTGCAACAGGCCCACAAAAATACTAGACTGTTGGCGCTTGCCGCCTGCTGCTGTTGTTGATGTTGCTAGTTGCTGGTGGTAGTGTTGCTGGTTGAAGTGTTGCTGGTTGCCGGTGACGCAGTCGCAGTTGCAGTTGCAATTGCAGCTGCGCCAATTCTCCTCCGGTTTGCCGTTTGCATTTCGGCGCTTTACGTTCAAAACAATTATTATTCTGGCAATTAATTTTGATTTAAGCACCGATTTTCAATACATTTCTATACATATAAATGGCTTCATATATATGGACGGTTTTCCTCGGCTTTTGTTGTTGTTTTCCTGTAACCCCCCATTGAGTCTCATTGACGGTTGAATGTCTCGATTTCTGTGGATTTTTGTTTAGACTGCTGCGATAAATAAACGACACCTACAAAGCTTTTCAGAGATTGCATCTTTTAGTTTGCGATGCGATTTGAACGGTTCGTCCAAAGATAAAGTTTGAGATATGGAAAAGACGTTCGTTTTGGGAGAGAGGATGATATAATATAGAAAATAAAAAACATGGGTAAAAATAAAACGGATTTTAGACTTTGCTTTTGTTGTTTTTGTTTTATTTAAAGAAAATTAAAATTAAATACATGCAAGAAAATGGCTACCTTCACCATATTTACAAAGCTTTAATCATAAGGTTAAATTAAAATAAATTATAAGATTAAATTATAAGTTGATATGGGTATACATATATGGGATTTATTCTCTGGCACCTTTTTGATTTGTACACGAAAGAATTTTAACAACGATTTATAATACAAGGAATTGTCAACGAAAACAATCTAAGACTAAGCTCTCAACTGCGATATGAGCACTGGAATAATTTAGCGAGTATAACTATCAATAAATATTTCTGATAAACTAGAGACCCTAAGAGGCAATAAAATTGCCCTGACTAATTTTTGGCACTGACTTTCCCTGACTTTGGCTAAACTGACTTAGGTTATAGGGGTTATGGGTTAAGGATATTTAATAGATGACCTGTGGTGGAGGTATGGGGTAGTCCCCTCCCTCCTCCTCCTCACCGTTGCTGCTGCCCACACTGCCGGCATAGTAGACCTGGTGAAGATTGTGACCCTCCTCGTAGCCCTGGAGGTGCTGCTGGAGCTGCTGCTGGTCGAAGCCACCTGCTGACCCACTGGGACCACCTCCACCCTGCTCACTCTGGCAGCCACTCTGCAGGTGCTTGGCCAGCAGGGACATGCGCGAAAAGGATTTGGTGCAGGTGGGGCAGGAGTACTTCTTCACATCCGAGTGGGTCTGCATATGAGCCCGCAGATTGGATCTATCCGCGAAGGCCCTATTGCAATGCTGGCAGCTGAAGGGCTTCTCACCCGTGTGGGTGCGGATGTGACCCTGGAGCAGCCAGGGCCGCGAGAAGGCCTTGCCGCAAATGGGGCACTTGCAGGGCAGAGTATGAGTGCGAATGTGCATCTTGAGAGCGCCCAAAGACACATAGGTCTTGTCGCAGTTCTTGCAGCTGAACACCTTCTTCACCTGGTTGCCTTCCGCCGAAGGACAATGGAACTGCTGGTGCTTCGAGAGGCCCGAATAGGTGGAGTAGCTCTTTCCACAATCCTGGCAATGATATCTTGGTACTCCCACTGGCTTTTGCATGCTCTGTGCCGATGCTGCATTGGCTGCCTGGATCAAAGCCGAGGCCTGATCCGTGCAGAACTCGGTTTGATCCACTATAGGACCCGATCCTCCAGGCTGACTTCTGATGATCTTGTACTCGGTGCTTTCGTAGGCATGTGTTTGCTGATGTTTTACCAATCCTGCATAGGTGGCATAGCACTTGTTGCACTGCTGGCACTGGTAGTACAAATCATTGCTGCTCTTAATCTTCAGCTGGTTGAGGTCCTGGTTTTCCTGATCCTCCTCCATATCCTGTGGAGGAGGCGGGTGCGGCTGGGGAGCCATGTGCTGCATGCTGAGCAAAGCTCTGGCCACATTCTGCAGATTCATATTCTCACTTAGGACCCTCCTCTGGGTCACCGAGAGATCTTCGGGTTCCGACAGAGGAGTTGGGGGTGGATAGTACATCTGGGGTGTGGGAACCGGAGCAATCTCTTCCTTAATAGTCTGCATTTTCATACAATCCTCATACTCGGCTATGCTCTTGAGCAGATTATTATTGTAGTTTCGCAGGGGAAAATGCTCCTCTTCAGTGGGTTCCACTTTGATAATGGTGTTTGGATTAGCTTCTCTGGCATAGCCTAGGGGGATTTGCTGTTCTGGTTCCGGTTCCGGTTCCATAACCTCCTCCTCCGGCGGCAACTCGAATTCTCCGTAGCCCAGGCGAGCCAGACTCTTGGCGATTTCCTCGCGGGTGAAAACATCGGGAAAAGCGCGGGCTATCTCACGGGTTTCCTCCCAAATCCGACGAGCCAACTGCTCTTTGGTCTGACTCATGGCGGCATCGAATCGGCGTCTCAGCTCTGTAGGAACTGTTTGGGGTTCCGGCTCCGCCTTGGCCATCCAATGGGGTTCCAATGGAACTGCAGCTGAGGCCACACTCAAGTCGACGGGTCCTTCATCTACGAAATTAAGTAAAAAGTTAATATATTTCATGTAGTTATTAGTTATAAGCTCAAACCCACCATGACTTAAGTGATCCTCTGGGCAGGACTCCTCCACCATTATCGGACGCTTCTTGAGCGGACAGCGGCTGTACTTGAGTTTATCCATATTTGTTTCGTTGATATTCCTATTGATCACTTATCACCGATCACAGATCTATACTGTATGTATTTAACACCGATCCTTGAACTTTAATCACTGCTCACTCATTTGCTTTTGCCACACGCGTCTCGATCGCTTGGAGTTCCTTCCTCGAATGATGCAAGCCGGCAAGGATCGGTTCGGTTTTATAGACTCCCGATCAACCCCCTGGCAGGATGATCAGGATCAACCCCCTGGGCAAAAAGGATCTTGGCGACTACCTACTTCCGATGTCGCCCGGGATTCTGTAAATCCACCCCGAACCACGAGCCACAGATCCATTCAGCGATCGAGCCACACAGCTGTGCGTTCATTGAACGCAGATACAGCTGCAGATCGGGCAGATCGGGGGTACCATACCATACCTATGCCATATAGAGAGGGAGGCATCTGGAAGGGAGAGGAACAAATCTGTGTGTAAAAAGCGAGCACGTGCCACAGGGCTCTCTCTTTTCTGTCTCTCGGCGATCGCCACCAGCTGCCTCTCTGGTTGAGCTCGTATTTCCCCTGATTTTGGATGGTGTGAGTGAGCGGCAGCTGGTGGCGAGCTTACTATATACCCGATCAAGTTTATTTATAAACCTCTTTCGGGTCCGCCTCGCACGATCGCTTTCCTATGTAAACCCCATGGCTGGTATCTCTCTCTTTGGGAGCAGGTGAGCTTGCTCTTTGGGGCCCTGTTAAGAGAAGCTTCGTGCTGGCAGACCCCACAAATCTCCACGCTCTCCCCGCTCTTTGGGGGCACTCTTGTTCCAACTCTCAATCGTCCCACAACTTAAGAGATCGCTTTCTGGGGTCTTCAGGGGATCTTTCAGGTATCGTTTGACTAAGCTGCTTATTGGCCTAATGTTCACTTTTCATATAGTGCTTAGCTAGGCTCAATACGATCACATTTTCCGCTGACTGAACTCTACAAGTGATCGTCGAGACATACGATTTTCCAGATCTTTGATTTAAGTAAATAATCCCCTAAACTTTCAAAACCAATTATAGTCAAAATCTTCAAATAAGTTGATTAAGATAAAAATGTTACCGTTTAAACCAAAGCATCAAAACTGTAATATTACAATTCTACTTATGAAGTTTTCCAGAGCATGTAGCTTATAGGTGCTCGGTATTAATGAGCTGAGAATACATTTTTATGAATATGTATTTAAATTTTTATTAAACTCACAACAACAACAGATAGACATGCTTTGTGTAGCAGAGCAGGCTTAATACAGCCGTGATACATTTTAAAGGATAAACAATAGCTTTCGTTTTAATATATATTGCAGAAACAAAGCTCTTCTTTTATTGAAATAGTACCCCTGCTGTTTCATTTGCGTAACCATGCCAAAACCTTTAAACAAAATCCGCACTTAGCTTTCCTATTGATCTTTATCGATCTGATCCTCTTCGGCGGGCAGCTGTGTAGATCAGCACGTGACATTGGCCCCGCCATCAAATCGAGCCAAACAACAATGCAATGTACCCACTCAGACGTCCAAAAATATTAATCACCAGGACAAACAGCGCGCAGATCTAAGGTAAATCAACCTTTCCCGGAGCATTGTTCCGGTCCTCCTCCTCCTCGCAAATAGGTGCACTCGGTAGAAATAAACCCCTAACGGCCATGAAATTTCAATTCCCCGATATTAAAGCATTTCGCCATCTGGCAGAAACCTCCAATCCACCCCAGAAGGGGCATGTGCCCGGGCAGTTACCTGGCTTTTTTCCTATCGGCGCTACATAAGTGCCTTGGAATGCGCCAAAAGAGAGAGGTTCGTGCAAATCTACCTGGCGCAGTTGTCCCACCCCAAAATCCACAGCATCACCAGACAACCTTCGGCGGAATAATGCCGGTGATGGTATGGTTATGGTATCGTTATGGTGGTAGAACTGCAGTTTTGGACGTTACTTTCCGGGCCAACCCCTCTTTTGAGCGTCTTGCAAGGAGTCGCACCCCCCGATCCTCGTCCATTCCCACATCTGCCGACTGTGACACGTACCACAAGGAACTGATTTCGTCTTGGTCCTGATTATTCCTATACCACGGGTATTTGGCGCCAAAATCCTGTAACGAACCGGTGTGCTCAGCTGGGCGAGATCTATTTTTGTATAAGTGATCATTGTAAGGTTAACAATAAGAAACGATCTGGGATGGTATATTGAAAAGTGAATTTGAATTTTAATTAACTGCAGTCGGAGTTGTGCAGCCATCAAAGGTATTAATGGTTCTTTGATGCATCACTGAACTTACGTAATGATTTATTTAGGAATGAATGCATCACATATTTAATCATCATCATCATATTTAATACAAAATAATATATAATTCAATTGAAATTCAAAGAATTTAGAAAAAATCATTAAAAGGAAGATATTTTCTCAGCAAACTTCTATGCCTTTTAAAACATTATAAACTCAAATTGTAATATAATGATATAATTGAACCCAAGCTTAAATTTATTTCAAATCAATAAAAATCGGCTTAAAAATTGTATGTTTTTAAAGTAAGTTCTTCTTTTAAGAAGTCACATACCGACAACTAATTCAATAGATATGCATTCTGTACTAACATTGTTGTTATTACTCAAATGTGTTTTTAAAAACTTTTAAAGACCTTATGAATTCCAATGGGAGACCTATTTTGATTGAGGAGTTAAGGATAGTTTTTCCATATACCTCCTGCCGCGAAGCATCTAATCCATCACCTTGACCCTTCTCCACAGCTCAATCAATTTGAGCTCTACAGTTTCATCTGCCGATGGTCATTCGATTCCATTTTCACCTTCTGCATGGTCAGCCCAACAAGACCTCAGCAAGACGGCAACAATGTGGATAGTGTCATCAAACCCTGGAAGAAAAGCCGGAGGAAAGCTAACTGCACATCACCTGGCAGGTAAACCGCAAAGGCTAACTGTCCCACACAGATTTCCACTGCTCCACAGCTGAGTGCCTCACTTCAAAGTGTCAAACGGCCGCACAGAGTCGCATAATGAAGTGCAAAATGTCATTAATTTGCCGCCGTCAAGGTGGCAAGCCAGCGAGTATCTGGGGATCGGGGCATCCGAGTATCTTGCTATCTGCTGGATGCAGCTGCGCTCGGGAGCGGACAAAAGAAAGTCGGCAGAAATGCAGAAATCCAAAACGAATCCGATCCAGGCCGCTTGTCCCACAGCCACACGCCGACTTTTGTCTCACATTGTCACGAGCTGAAGGTTTTTCAAGCCACTGAGCAGACAATGCGGGTGAAATACAAGAAAAATGCGACGACGACGTCGCCCAGACCGAGCTGCAATCAAGACAAGATCTTAGAACTATTGGCGCCTGATATGGCGGGGAAGTGCCCCAAGATCCCCCCAAGAATCCCCAAGTCCAGGTCAGCGAGCATAAACGCCGCTTTTGAAATCCGATATTATTACCTGGCCGGAGAACACGGTAACGGTAATTATAATCGAATAAAAGCAGACAACGGTCTGAAGCTTCCGACGCCGCATAAATTAGCCGACTCGGTAGTTTGAGACTAGAAAATAGAAGCTACGTCTATAATTCAAACTAATTTGTTTTATTGACAGCGTGTGCGCTTCGCGTTCTGTGCGATAAGAGACCCTCCACGAACACACTCACAAATTGGTCAATTATGTGGGGTCCGAAACTAAAACCTTAACCAAATCCCAAGTCCCGGGGCTCTAAGGCGTGTTTCATTAGTCCAAGTGACAATAAATTAAGTTTCGACTTCATCGCCGCTAATTAAAATGCGCTCTTGAGATATTAATCTGCTGGGAAGAAGCTTAGTTGCTAGTCATTGTGGTTAGGGAACACGGAAAAGAAAATATATATCATAGGTTTAGTATTTTTATATGATCTATTATGATCCTCAGATGATCCCTTTCATGGTTTAGTGATTTCTAAAGAAGAAATATTCAAAATATTTTTTAAAGATACATTTATGATTCATTAATTTTTTAATGTATTTAGTTTCAATGATGGCCACATTTATTTCTGTGTATCCATAAAGTTGGTTTTTTTGGACCACCCGCCTGGCTTTAAAAAGATAGATCGATCCGCTGATCGGTAGCTTTGGCGCTCTCATCTCTAACTAATAATCACCAGCGAGCTTGTGATTTTATTTTCATAAATGAATCACGATAATAAATTGTTTATGTTTCTTCGGCTCTTCATGGGAAAAAAAGATTAGCATCAGCGTTTATGTTAATGCAATGTTGAGACATCATAAAAATGAAATATTTGCCGCCTTATTAGTTGCCAAGCGAACAAATTTGGCAAAGCTGTTTGCATATCCGAACATCTCGAGATTATTTGATGGGGTGCTTAATTTAATTTACTTATCAATGGCAAACATCCTTTGCGGTTTTTTCCGACAATTTGAAGGGCAAGCTGAAGTTCAAGTTCGTTATCGAATGGTTGGGATTAATTTACTCGGCAGGTACAGGAAAAAGACACTCAATTGAGATAATATTGCAAAGCCATTTGTTTGCATATCTTAAGAAAGTTAATTTCTTAAAATTATTTCTTACCGTTCTACGACCTTCTAAGTGAAAACCTTCCCCATTGATTCGATTACTCATCGAACTTTTATGTGGTATCTAATTTAATGACCCAACCACACCTATTTATTTAACTGAAGAGGAACCCCCATATACAGGCCAATCAATTAGGTCCCATTGAGTATCTAATATGGAATATAACTGTTCCATTATGTAGTGCGAATGTTCCCATGACAAAAACAATTTACACTTGCAGGGACGGTGAGAAAAGCAGATGAGGAGGAGGAGGACTTCATCTGGATGGGGTGGTGGTCAGGTTCGGGTCCGCAGCTTCTCCCTGCAGGATTCTGACCGATAAATAACTTACCCACGCTCAGCGAAATACGGGTTCCGTTCGGATTTCGTTGCAGGACTAAGGGATGATCCCTGGGCAGGAATTATTTGTTATTGGAATCACGTGACAAGTTGCTGGCGAACGGACGTCGAGGGGGTTGCCACCGCCACTGGGAACCCGAAACAGAAATCATCCCACGGGATTCAATTTATGCGTGTTTGAATGTTTTTGATTGCGCGCTGCTAATTCAAATAAAATTCGACTGCTCCTGC